TGGTTTACACAATCATCCTCCAGACAAGGTACTTATCGCATATGACCGCATCAATTCTATCTTGCCCTGTGTGCCGGAAAAGTGCTCTGGTGAAAGCGGACCATGCTGCTGGGATATTTTGGTTTTTATCGGAGACGTTAACGGCCGGTAGTGGCTCACGCTACCCGGGCGTTAAAACAGCAAGAAAACTGCCATAAAAGTTGACCGAATATCAGCAAATACGCTTAAGAGTGACCACGCGCTGAAGTCGGAACTTTTGAGTGCTTCAGAAAAAACATCAGAAGCACCATTAACAACCCTAACCCCTGGAACGGGAATGATATCGCTCACTAAGACCAATTCGAGGCTTTACCTGCTACCTTGATGTTCTTTTGAGGGCAAATCAGAGGCCAGCCATCACATTGCCTGGAAAGGCCTGTTCAGGAAGTTACTCAAAACACAGCATCTGCTAGGGCTTAGCGTTTGATGAAGATGATGGAATTTAACCATGCTAAAGAATAGTCCAGAACTTCATATACAAGCGTGAGCTAGCCCCGCGCTGTACGCCATGTAAAGCGCCTGCTCGTGTTCGGAATCCAGGCAAGAAAAGCGAGCCAGCTGGACAGATGTCTTTGACATCAGCATTAAGGTTGGCCCGAGGGCCGTTTTTCACAGTCCCTGTGTGTGGGGTCTACCCCACAAAAGCGAGACAGTACGACCCTACTTTTTTTCAGAACCAGTCAGGCGGACTTCTCAGCTCATACTCCTTCCAACGTATTCCACATATACTCATTCTTCGACGTATCTAAAGCCACTGACATGAAGTTTAACGTAAAAATCTTCTCCTTGTTACACTCAAACTTGTTCGCCATACCACCAAGTTTCCTGGCTTCTATAGGGGTATATTGTGAGTTCACGAGAACAAGGTTTTTCTTACCGTAGATAGCGAGCATTTTAATGTCTACGCAGGCATTTAGCGAGACTGCATCCACCATAACAGTTTAACCATGCTACAGATATGGCTCTAGACACGGCAAACCACAATTAGGAGGCCCAAAGTATGCTGCGAAGAGTCATGTGTCAGTAAATAGCTATGTGGATATTTCTGGAAAGGAAAACTTACGATAGAGATCGAAAGATGTAGTGCTGGTTTAGATGTTTCGGACTCTTGATCTAACCCACAGTTAGAGGGGTAAAGAAGGCGAGGAGGCTCCAAATATTTGCATGTTATGCGGTCGTGTGCTTACACTCCGCGCCTTGCTGTTGGCGTGATTATGGGTTGCTAGACTTTGTCCTCGGTACACTTCCCCGTGTTCAGGCGTGAATCAGAAGATCAAAGATTTCTCCTAAATGCATATCTCCTGCATGCGAGGCTCATGGTCATCAACTGTTTTTTCAGCTGCCGACAGGCGCAAATTTGCGCCTTACGCATGCCTGTGGTCTATTCGAGATTCAAATGGAAGTGCGATCAACAGAAGCCACCTTGATGTGCGAAATCGAACTATACCTTCTGTTTGGCACAGGTATAATTGTTTTTCAACTAGAGTATACTTCAGCCGGCAGGGCAGGCTTCAAACGTAGAACCTCACAGGCCTGTGTCCGAAACCTAGTAGAGTCACCGTCTTAGGCGGTTTTGCCAAGCCCGTTCGTAACATAATTCCCGCGACCCCCTGTCTGAATTAGCCACTGTCACAGTGGTGGTTGATTTGAGCAGTGAAAATATGTAGCGGGATGATATTATGCACCCTAACCTAATGTATAAGATAAAAAACTCGGAAAAGACTGCTTTCCGTCTATAGTCGATAACCGCGGAGCATTGGTTGCACAGGTACACGCCGGTGCCAACTAAACTAGACAGAAGACAGGTGCATTTTGACGCCCGTATAGCGTCAGCTGGAGCTCTCCCCGCTAGGGTCCCCGAATACAGACAAACGGGCCATTGGTTGCTCGAGAAGCTAATGGAGACCTTTGACGGCACGGACCTGTCAACACGACCGACATCAAATGGGATTAGAGCAACCACAAGGCGCGCCGTTCCATGGATGACGGACGAATTCCACCACTAAGATGGGTTCAAGTTTCGTATAATTTGTTAACATCATTCGACTTGGCGTGCAGTAAACTGGTTATCACGTCAGCTAGAACCCTCCCCGCTGAAGTCCCTGTATACAGTCAAATTGGCCGTTGGTCGGTCGGGAAACCATTCGAGACCTCCCTCGACTACACGGATCTGCCAACACGACCGACGTCAAATGGGATTGGAGCAACCACAAGGCGCGCCGTTCTGTGGATGGCGGGCGATTACCACCACTAAGATGGGTTCAAGTTTCGCATAGTTGACTAACATCATTCGAATTAGCGTGCATTAACTGGTAATTTGTATGGAGTCGGGCGGCCTTGTTAAATGAAAACTTGGGTTATCATTTTTAAGTTCCCAGTCCAAACAATTTAGGATTGCACGTCACAGCGCTCGTATGACGGATGATTTTCGAACACGATTTCGACACGCATAACCGATTAAAACCTTAGGGGTGGATAGAGTCACTTGATGGCAAGGGTCGTTTCTGAGACATAAAGCATGCACAGGATGATCGTGGAATGTTTCTCCGTGTTTGCCTGCAGAAAGTAATGTCACTGAATAGCCAACCTAAAGCCTAACCTTAGTGAGGAATTACTAGGCCAGAAAGCACATCAAACAGGCATTTAGGGCCTAGACAACGTTTTTTCGCTCTTGCTAGCCTTACGAAAGAAAGACTCAATGAAATAATGCACGCAAATTAATTCAAATTACACTCACTCAACTAATTTTACCTGGTTTTGGCGAGCATATCGCGTAAATGGACACATATAACCCGAACCGCATCCAAGTAGCCCAAAGAAAATCGACTCAAAATTACTCATAACTGCGAAGAAATACGAAATTTATTTCTTGTTTAATTTTCGCCTCACAGTTTTCCTGGCCGCTGATTTTTTCTGACGTTTACTTACAACCTTCTTTGCAGATTTCAATTTTTTGGCAATATGAGACGTGTTGCCGAATAAACTTCCAACATCGACGTCTGACAGGGGAAGGGATTTAGCAGCCTCAAGAATTGCGTTCACAGGCAGCTTCGGTGAACCCTTGGTTAGGTACTTCGAGAGTAATCGGAGTTCAGGAGAAACATCTCCGCGGCTAGATAAGGAACTACGAAGGGGCGTGGAACGTGTCTTCCCCAAGGACTCGAGATTTTCCACAGCTGCTTCCTGTGGGACTTCAAACTCGTCAAAGTAGAGCGGAATGCTTGGGCCGGATCCACGAACGTAGATAGAGCGCAGAGTTTTCAGACCACCAGGCCACTTTGGCAAGATGTCATGGGCCTAGAATTTTACGTAGTAAAATCGTTTGTAAGAATAAAAGGTGCAAGCAGAGATCATGTTATGTGGACAGCCAATACATTTATGATTTTAAAACTCTGGAAGGTGAAACCAGGAAAACGTATGCAATACCACAGTTTCCAGGTAAAATACCTCGAACTTACGAGACAAGAGGGGTCAGTAGCATAAGGTTATATGTTAAACAAGAATGAGGTCAAAATTAACAAGTCAATAAAATCAGGAAATCAAAACTATTCGCGTGTGAAAAGCGAACCCTAAATGTAAGCGATTTAGACAATTGTTTCATTGCATTTCAGTTAATTGAAGGGAATTCGGATTGATGATAAGGTAATGTAAGTAGAATGCATGCAATCTCACAAAATACAGCAACCAAGGAAGCAACCCAGATCCACTAGATAACCTTTAAAAGTCCAACATAGACCTTACTTTATAGTTAAACATTGTTATTGTTGGTCAGCGGCAAGCATGCGACTAAGCAACCTGGTTAAAAACGATGACCCCGTTTGCATATAAACTAGTGGCAAAGAAAGTTGTGACATTTATAATGTAAATGTCCTATTAGGATTTTAATTGCTACTAACTGCGTGGTAGAGACCCGACTTAGCCGAAGCATGTGTCCTTAAGCCCGCTTATTCATCCCTCGATGCTCCATGTCCTCGTTTGCTGTCTTCCCATTCGTTAGTTTCCCCGTTTTTTGTTCCCCTGCCCCTTGTCCTTATTCCCTTATAAGCTGGCAGCCATGTGTCTGCATCATGTACATGTCTGCTCGTCTAAACACCTCGAATGCATTGTCCACCCTCGTTTTGATTTCTATCTCGCATTCTTACCTATCGTGCGCTGTAAATCTTACTTAGCAACGCATAAAGTATACGCGTGTTATCCCGACTCTCTCTTGACATAGCTCCTGGTCTCTGAAGATTCTATTCAGGTGACAAAACTAGCACTGAATCAGGAAGGAATAAACAATATTAAGAAAAGGAAAATGAGGTCACCAACAAGGTGGCGACCTTTTCGGTGTTGCGGCTTAAAGCCGTACGTTATAATTGGTAAGTTGCTGATACTTATACATTATTACATAGGCGTCTATGCACAATGGACCAAGGCCGCGTAGCCAAATACCTATGAAATGAAGGCCGCTTTTGTACGGCGACTTAAGCGGACATTGGATACCCTGCGAAAGCGTCGAAGGCAGGAGAACTCACATCTTGACCATGACGACAGACTACATAGATCATTGC